TTCTGGATCTAAAAAAAATTTGTCTTTAATACCTGACAAATTCAAATTAGGGCTGTAATCTGCCTCAGATTAGGTATTTTTGTCTAGTATGGGGTGCCTTAATAGACCCTCATATGAATGAAACCCTCATATGTATGTAACTTCTGCCACACCAAAGCATGGAAAACGCTGCCAACTGACAGGACGTTGTACCCCCATCAGTCTCTGTGATAATTCTTCTAAAGAAGTCACCTTCTGACTCTGGTTGGGTTAATTTGCTGATTTGTTTTCTCTCCTCTCCCCACTCTTAGTGGACTGGGCAGTGGATCAAGCCCACTTCGCCCTGTTCTTCAACCAAGGGCAGTGCTGCTGTGCCGGGTCCCGCACGTACGTCCAGGAGGACATTTACAATGAGTTTGTGGAGAGGAGTGTTGAGAAGGCCAAGGCCAGGGTGGTCGGAAACCCCTTCGACTTTAAAACTGAGCAGGGGCCTCAGGTAAGAGCAGGAAATGCCCTCAGCTGTTACCTCATGGAACAGTCCCAATCCTGAGCCATAGTGTGTCACTAGATTAGAATGGAATTATCCTTCAGTCTCTTGATTAACCTCCTTTGAACTGTCCCATGATCTCCTTGCTTGTGCAGGGGGGAAAGGTTAATTAACCATTCTGATGATTCCACAACCTGCACTTGAGGCTGGCATTTAAAAATGCTCCCTTTGAAGCTGGCTGGGCACTCTGTTGCGACTGGGAACTGCTGGAGCACAGCAGGTGGGAGCAGAATCTACTTTCCCCCCAGCGGAGGTGGAGCTGATGTGTGTCCTCATGGCTCACAGGTGGATGAAGAGCAGTTCAAGAAGATCCTGGGTTACATCAGCACTGGGAAGCGTGAGGGAGCCAAACTGCTGTGTGGTGGCAACGCCGCTGCCGACAGGGGCTACTTCATCCAGCCCACGGTCTTTGGGAACGTGCAGGACAACATGACCATTGCCAGGGAGGAGGTGAGTCCTGCAGCACCTCCCTGGCCCTCACCTTCTCACTCGTGGTCACTTTGCCCCCTCTGATGCAAAAACCTCACAGGTTTACAGGCACTGGGTGTTCATGAGCTGTGAAACTCTTCCTAGAATTATCTTCCCTCCCGATTACATCCCGGGCCCTGCGGAATAGGGGAAGTGATATTTGAATTTCATGTCCTGTGTGACTTCTTACACCCATACACAGCTCCCACATCACCCACATGACCCCGAGTTTCTAAGTCTTTGATGTTGGTAAAGTAATTTTTCATGTTTGTTTGGTTTGGTTTGGTTTTGTTTAAATGTTGAGATCAGGAACACGTGTTTCTAGTCAAATGCAAGTATTGACACAAAGCAAATTGTTAGATTGGTAATGATTCATACTTTGGACTTGTCCAGAGGGAGATTGAATGTACCTGAGCCAACAAATGTGGAAGGAAAATAACCAGTATTTGTTATTTCCCTCCAAAAGTGCCTGATTTTCCTAATTTGCCATATGAAAGCTCTGGACCTGTAGGATAAAAAGCAGAATGTAGGTGCTGTGCACAGACCCAGAAAGATTGAGGCTGCAGTCAGGAGGTGTCTGCTTATCTACCTTCACAGAGATTTCCACCTGCTCTGTTTGGGTGTTGCAGATCTTTGGGCCGGTCATGCAGATCCTGAAGTTCAAAACCATCGAGGAGGTCATTGAGAGAGCAAATGATTCCAAGTATGGGCTGGCAGCCGCCGTGTTCACCAGGGACCTGGACAAGGCCAACTATGTGTCCCAGAGCCTGAGGGCTGGCACAGTCTGGTGAGTTCCCTCTGCCTCCTCCCAGAGCTGCCAGGAGCTTCCCTGTGTGCTGCCAGGGCTCACTGGGCTCATTCTTTGATAGCCTGTCCCTCCTTTGGATCCACTTTTACATGTACTTCACTGAATGTCCTGTCAGACTTCAGTTGTGATGGTAACTGTTGGTAAAATTGTTTATATATATAAATAATACATATATATATATTTAGGTTGGAAGTATATTTAGGCTGGAGCTCCTCTGCTCTGGAGCCAGGCTGAGAGAGGTGGGATTGTTCAGCCTGGAGAGGAGAAGGCTCCAGGGAGACCTGAGAGCCCCTTCCAGGGCCTAAAGGGGCTCCAAGAGAGCTGGAGAGGGACTTTGGACAAGGGCCTGCAGGGACAGGACAAGGGGGAATGGCTTCCCACTGCCAGAGGGCAGAGTTAGATGGGATATTGGGAAGGAATTCTTCCCTGTGAAGGTAGTGACAGGCTGGGATGGAATTCCCAGAGAAGCTGTGGCTGCCCCATCCCTGGAAGTGTCCAAGACCAGGTTGGACGGGGCTTGGAGCAACCTGGGATAGTGGAAGGTGTCCCTGCCCATGGCAGCAGGTAGATCTGGATGAGCTTTAAGGTCCCTCCCAACCCAAACCATTCCATGATTCTATGATTTATATTAAGTTTCCATACTCCCACTGTGAATTAAGGAATGGGATGGGGGAGAAGCAATCCAGTGCTGCAGGCTCTGAGTGCCAGCAGTGATGGGATCACTGGGCAGGGACGTGGCTGCTGCAGAGGATGTTCTGCTCTGTCCTGAGCCTGTGCCAAAGGCATCACTACAACACCAGTTTCCTGCTCTAGCACAAGATTTTGGAGATCCAGGATCTCACTGTCTTTATTTTTTACTTTGTTTTAATTGGTACTGAGGGAACAAGTGGGTGCTTCTGGTACCTGAGCTCTGAGGGGGGTGAGGGCAGCACTGGGACAATGAGAGATGGTAACAGATTCCATGATGTTCTGTATGATAAGATTTCAGAATTAACTCTGTTGCCTGAGAGAACTGGCAAATACACAAATTCTGCAGACAAACTCCTCCCTTCCTCTGTTGCAAATAGATCAGCTGTCCATGTGCTGCCAAAGGGCTCTTCCATGAAGAATTCCTGAGCTCTGGGTGTTTAACCCTTGGTTTCCATTCCAGGATCAACTGCTACAACGTGTTTGGTGCCCAGGCCCCCTTTGGGGGCTACAAGGCCTCTGGGAACGGGCGAGAGCTGGGGGAATATGGGCTGGATGCCTATGTGGAGGTGAAAAATGTGAGTATCCCTGTGCCCAAAGCATCCCCAACCCTCTGCTGGAGCTCCAAGTTATACCTGTGCCTGTTGGTGTGGGCTGGGCTGAGAGCTGCAATTCTTCCTTCTGGTGCTTGAAAGCAAATTGGAGCAGAACTGTGACCCAGACCTGGAGACTCCCCCTCTCCCTGAGCCTTCCCAGTCTCCAGACCTCTCCCTGTCCTCTGGTTCTCTCCTGCTGCCTCTCCAGTGACCACCCCTGAACAGTCTCAAGAAAAGAATCACTTGTGACTTTTTCTTCTTTTTTTTTCTTCTAGGTGACAATCAAAATTCCACAGAAAAACTCCTAAAGGGAAAGACAGCAGCCTCCCCAGGAATTTGGAAACACTTCTGCAGCTTCATGAGACAAAAAGCAGCAAAACCTCTAAACATGCAAATATTAGGTGCAAAAATAACCTAACTCCGCGTTGAGATATTTTTTTTTTAGAAGGTATTTGAAGGAGCTTTTGTTAAAAAAAAACACATTACTTGGCTTTATCTTTTTAAAATACCAAATACAGTGACTTGAGCACTAACACGAGATGGGTTATTTTGGGTACAATCACCCACATGAGATGGGTGTGATCTTTCCATCTGTATCTGATAGATATGCTTCTTTTTTCCCCCAAGAAATCATTGAACTGCTTGTTTAGTCTAGGAGGGTTTATACAAAGTAACAATTCTTTGTTGGCTTACAGAGCTGGCTCTATACCCTTGCCCTATAAACTATGTATGTCCCTCTTGTGTGAGCAGACTGAACTCGGTGTGTACCTGGGCAGGGAGTGAAATCTGTGAGGTGAAAGTGTTTTCTTGTTCCTTCCTGCTCTTTGCATCCACTCCCAATAAACATTCCTGTCTCAGTGCAGCCAACCCTACCTTTGTTGGAGGTTTGTGCACACAAATCCCGGCCTCAGCAAGCGGTTTTTGAGGGTTTTCGCTGCCTTTCTGCCCTTCCCGCTGTCCTTGTGCTGCCTTAAAGGAACTCCTACACCTGCAAGGCGGGTAGAGCTACCTGAGCACCAGGGGGTGTGAAGGGGGCCTGAGCCTCACTGAGGGCTCTGGGAGACACCTCCCTGGTGTGGTTACGAGGGGTAGGGGTCTGTGAGGGGACACGGAGGGCGCAGGGCAGGTTCCGAGGCTCCTTCTCACTGTTCCCCCTCAGGGCCGCTAGGGCGACCGTTGCCGGAGATCTCGCGAGACTACGCTGCGCCCGGCTCCTCAGACCAGCAGGTGCACTCAGATCTCGCGAGACTTGGCGCCGCTCGGCCCCTCACGACCCGAGGAGCCTCCATTCCCCTCACAGCGGCGGAGCCTAGCGATCTCGCGAGACTTCGCGCTGCCCGGCCCCTCAGACTGGCAGGCGCGCTGAGATCTCGCGATATCTCTCATCTCCGGACCCGACGAGCAGCTTCAGCCTCGATCACCGCCTGTCCCACGAGATCTCGCGAGACGTCGCGCCGCGCGGCCCCTCATGACCCGACGCGCCTCCATCCCCCTCAAATCCCGCGGGCGCACCGAGATCTCGCGAGACTTCCTGGGATGCCGCGAGAGGGGCGGGCCGAGGCTATTAACCCATCTCGTGACGTCATTTAAAAGCGCCCATTCTCTCGAAAGCCCCCCGGGGACCTTGCTGGCGCTGTCTCTCTTTCAGAGCCGCCCCTGCGCCGCCTGCAAACCGCTCCAACGGCGCGGCGGTGGCGCCGAAAATTGCGGGGTGCGCGCGGGGCGGACGCAGGGATCCAGCCGTGTCCTTCCGCGGGGGTCGCGGCGGCGGCATCCACGTCGGCGCGGGGCTTGGCGGCCGGCGGGGCTGACCGCGGCGGTGCCGGCGATGTCCGCGCGCGGGGCCCGGGCGGCTCCTGCCGGGGCCGCGGCCGCTGTCGGGGCCCGCGGGGTCCCGCTGCCCCCGCGCGCCCGGGAATGAGGCACAGCGGCGGCGGCTGCAGCGCACCTGCGGGGCTGCGCCTGCCCTGAGGCGGCCCCGGCGGTTTCGCCCCTCGCGGGACGATGTCGCAGGATCACGACATGGACCGGACGATCAAGGTGAGCAGCGGCCGCCGGGCCGGGCGGGGGCTCCTGGGGACCGTGAGGATGACGTGCGGAGCTGCCCGGACACACACACGGAGCCTGGTTTGGGACGGGGACTTTGTTTGCTCTGTGGGCGCTCGGGGAGGTTCCCACAAATCACCCCCCCAAACAGCCGAACTTTTCACTGTTATTCCATTTTAGCGAACAAAGGAATTAACGGTAATTCCTATAAGTTACACGGTTTTCTCATTAACTAGTATTCTGTCTTCTTTTGATTAATGATTCTTATTTCTCGTGTGAATTAGTGCCATGCTCAGTCCTTCTCTTGTTTTGGGTCTGGGGGTTTGTTGGGTCGGTCAGAATCACCTCTTACCCCGGTGGAGCCGGTTTCAGCCCAGTTGCTGAGTTGGGTTTATTAGTTTCTTCCTTCTCTTGGGAGTTCTGCCCCACGTCCTTGTGATTCGTAAATTCTGCGTTCCCTGGGTCCACTATCAGTGGAAATCCTTCTCCTCACACTTTGTTAACCTGCCCCAGGTCTGAGATCACTGAAACATGTCCAGCCCTAAACCTTAACAAGGTAATTCTACCCACAAGTCATTTGTTTCTCTAACACCTGGACACCACTTAGAGCTGCTGTTTCACTGATTAACTCTTCTTGTTTATTAGGTTTGAAAAGATCAAACATCAAAGAAAATCCTTAAAAAACTTTTACACATTCCCCATTTTGCCACAACGAGCAGGACTCTGTTTTACAGCCCCCTCTCATTCCCTGTAATTCTCTCTGGGCAAACTGTTGGCTATTCCTTGAGGTGCCACATCCTTCTGTGTGAAAACAAATCTGGTGTGTGGGATGGTTGTGTTTGGAGCAGCTGAACAGATCCAGGGTTCCAGAATTCTTTGCTGTGGAAACTGGGAAATTCCTTTTGGAATAAAGTGACATAAAACAGTATTTTAAAGTGTCTCTGCAGCCTCTTCACCTTGTGCAAAGCATTTGCTGTCAGAAATTCTGGACTTCTTCATAAAAGCTTATTGAAATAAAGAACAAATTCCTGAAGAATGGAGCAAAACAGACCCTGTGTTTTGGAATTTCCCACCTTTCCTTGTCCCTGCCACAGTGGGATTTGTCTTTACAAAGCTCACTGGGTGCAAGTTCCAGTGTAAGAGAAGCAGCAACACCTTTTGTTGAAATCTGGGTTGATTAACTAATTAATCCCAAATGGCACCTTAAAACCATCCAGTTCCACCCCTTCCATGAGCAGGGACACTTTCCAGGGGGCTCCAAGCCCTGTCCAACCTGCCCTTGGACACTTCCATACTGAAAATATATGGAATGTATTTAAAATATATGGGTTTTGTACTAAAAAGGGCCCAAAGTAGAAGGAAATCCAACCAGATTGTAATTAAACAAGTGTCACAATTGTTTCCTGTTTTGTTTTCCTGGCACAGTGCAGGGGAAGGAAAGTCCTGAAGTGTTTGAAAAAGAAGGTTTTTTTAAGTATTTCTCTGGTATTTCATGTGAAGGAAAAGATCTCTATCAGGGCTTTTTGGGGTTTAAAACAAAAATCCAAAGCAGTTATGGGAGTGTAGGGACAGTTCTGAGCCTCCTGCTCCTCTCAACTCAACCTGGACAAGGTTCTGGGCAAATCTCTGGAGTTATGAACCATAATTTAGTATTTTCATATGTTATCCTGATCTTTCTGCTTCCCAGATCCCTGGTTATGGTTCAGGTTTGGTTGTTTCACTACCTGTGCAGGTTTAACTCTGGGGTTCAGGACAGGGGTCAGAGATTAGGGAAGGAGGCTGGAGGAGCAGGAGAGGTGGAATCACACAGGTCCCAGCCTGTGCACCTTGGATTTTTATTATAAAGATTGTTTTGTTGTCACAATTCCTTATTTCAAACCTTTTCCCATAAATATTCAGTGGAAACTGAGAATTGTGGAATTGTTAAGGCTGGAAAAGATGTTTATATCAGAAGAGCCTGAGCTTTTCCCTGAACAGTCCTGAGGTTTGACCCTCTCAAAGCTCCTTGTTTCAAACCTCTTCCCATCAGTATTCCATGGAAACTGAGAATTATGGAATCATTAAGGTTGGAAAAGACATTTAAGTCAGAAGTGCTTGAGCACCCAGCTGGAAGAACTCTGGGAATGCTGCTTTTCCAGGCCTTTGGCATCCCAGCCTGCTGACTCTGCTGCTCCAAGTGTTGTTTTAGGAACCCAGAGCTGCTGGGAGGGAATTGTGCTGCTGGAGGGAACTCAGACTTTGTTGTAATGGATGGATTCCATATTAATTTATTCCCTTTTGCCACTGGAAATTAATTTAAGGAGTGATCAGAAGTTCCAAGTTCCTTTGACAGCAGGATCACAAAGGTTTCCTGTGTCCATTAATCCAAACAGAGCCCAGGCCTTTGGGCTTCCCTCTTGAAACACTTGGATATTTTCACAGGGCAGTTTGATATTTTTGCTTATTAAGCATTTCAGGCTGTTTAGAATCACAGAATCCTGGATTATTGAAGTTGGAAAAGCCCTCCAAGATCGTGGGGTTCAAACCCTTGACAGAAAAGATTCTGAAGATGATGTTTGGGTGTTATGGGCTCGTGTTGGTTTGGGGCTGCACAGACTTGGGGCTGGCTTTGGAGCTGCTGGTTCTGAATTAGGGATGTGATTTAAGTTTCCAAGTACTGAATTTTGTGTCATTTGGAAATGGTAAAAAGTGTTTCTTGGTCACTGTGTTATATTCATTTTAACTTCTAAGTTGTAAAGTTGCTTTGGAGTGAAGGTTGGAACCCAAATAAAACTGCAAAAAAACCCACCCCAAAATGTTGCCTTTTTATTTAAAAAAAAAAGCAAATACACAATATGAAAGTTAATTTTTTATTAAAAATGGACTTACAGTTGTTGAACTTGTCCTTTAGTTGTTGAAAATGATCAGATCTTATTTTTCCTTCATTTCATTCAGAGATCACAGACTTTCCAGTCCTAATCAGCTTCTCTGGCCCATTTATTCAGGAATAAATGGGAATATTTGGCATTTGCTTTTCCATTTCAACTCCTTCAAAACTTACACCCCAAGTGTGATGTGTAAACCTGAGGGGAAACTCCCCAGTCCAGAGAAACCCTTTCCCTGCTCATTAATGCTCTCCTAAAACTAATTTTAATTAATTTATTATATTTAATATATTTAATTAATGCTCTCCTAGAAGGTAGAGTTTCATCCCACCTCTGCTGCCTTCAGTTCTTTGTAGCTGAATATCAGGAAAATTGAAGCAGCTTTTCCCTAATATGCTTCTCACAAAAGTTATTTGAATTGATAAGAAGTTTCTTTGTGGTTATCCACACAACAGATAGGTGTGATTCATATTTCTTCCTTCATTTATAAAACCTCCAGTGAACTTTTTTTTCCCTTTACATCTTTCACTGGTCATTTATGATTTATGTAGCACTCCAGGCTGTGTTAAAAACCAGTTTTTCCTTTCATACCTGCCCCTTGCACTCTTTAATCCCTTCAAATCTTGCCTTAAATATCCACTTTCCTCCCTTGTTTTGTTCTCAATCTGTGTGGTTTGAGGTCTGGCTCCAGCCTAGAGTTAATCCAAGATTATTGTAGCAGAGACCACCAATCCCAGGTGAGGGATTGACCTTTTCCAACAGCTTAAAATCATTATAGAACCAAGATCATCAAGTCCAACCTTTAGCCTTAGTTGAGAGTAGGAGTGTCCTCAGTTTTCTGAGATAAAATGCTCCCTTTGAATTATTAACAGAAAAGTCTGATCAGAATAAAGTTCCTTTACAAGTGGTGGCCTCTTCCCTTAATTTTCAGTGTATTTGGGAATATTTTCCCTGCCTCCTTAAGCTTCCCCAGCACTGATGGTTGTACCAGCCCCTTTCTTGTGATTTATCCCAAAGCTTGGCTTTGGAAAGATGATCCTAGGGTGTAATAAAAGGACAAAGGCACAGCACAGGGCAGCAGCTTTAATCCAAATTAATCAAAAAGCCACCCTGTGCTTGATTTCCATCCTGCCCTGGGACATGTTTAAGCCTGAGAGCACCCAAGCTGTGTCCTAACAAAACCAAGCCCTGTTTAGATGGATTGGGACAAAAGGATTATAAACATGGGGCTGGTTCATTATCAGACAGGCTAAAACCAGTCAGACAAGGTTTAATTTGCAGTGTAATGACTCCAAAAGTTTGAAAACCTTATTTTTTTAATGTACTCTATGGCCCACAAATACATGTTAATGCTGCGATTGGGCCCTTCAGCTGGGATTGATCATGTACAGATGGATTTAAATCAGGGGGAGATGCCCTTGTTACACTTTGTGTACTGAAGACTGTTCTCAGTAATCCTGGTTCAGAGTGCCAGGATGAGCATTCCCACTGCACAGAAATACTTGCAAACAAATTAATTATCATATGAGCATTTGTATTTATGTTGAATTTTCCACAGCAGGCTCTTTCCTGCTCAGGAATTTTGCAAACCAGGTCTACTGAGCTCTTTATTTTTTTGGGGAGGGGCTGTAGTAATTTTATTTATTTATGTGTTTATTGACTATTTTTTCACTCTTCCTGTTCCTTCTTTAATAGGAAACCTCCATTTTAGAGGAGTACAACATTAACTGGACTCAGAAGTTGGGAGCTGGGATCAGTGGGCCTGTGAGGTAAGAGAGCACCCGAGGTTTGGGGAGAAGTCAGTGAGTACTTTAAATGCTTTTGACAGAGCGTGATCCATGGAAAACTCCTTATAAACAACAAATATCTGCTCCATGTGGGTCCTGCAAGTGGGGTTTTGTCTTTTATGGGATGTATGTGCAGTAAAACCTCTCTTCACCTCCCTGTCCCATCTCATGCCATGTTCCTGGAATTGGTTGTGGCCACAGAAATTCCTCCTGAAACCCCTCTGTCCTTGAATCCTGGTGTCCCTGCAGTGCAAAGGCTCCTCTGTGCCATCACCACTGTCCCTTTCCTGTTTTTTCCAGTTTTTTCCCCTCATCCTGTGAGGCCAAAGCAGATAATTCCATGGGCATCCCAACCGTGTCCCTCATGGATTTCTATCCCCAGCATGAGCTGGATACTTACTGTGAAGCAAAACATATATTCCCTTTTCAACAAGGCCTCTGCCTTCAGGGAATGGGAATTTCTGCTGGAAAACAACTGTTCCTGGGTGCTCCACAGTGTCCTTATCTTTCACCGCCATTTGTCTCCCTGTCCAGCCCACTGGTTTCTCCTCATCCATTTTGCGTTGCCTCTGATCTCCATTAAAACACCCCCTTTGGGCTTTATTCTGTTAAAATGTGGGCCCTTCCCTCAATTGTTTGTGTTAAATTGGGGAAAGAGAGAAAAAACAGTTGGTGGCCTGGCCAAAAATGAGGATTTCCATTCAGAAACACTTTATTTATTACAAACTCCACTCTCCACTGGGGATGTTCAGGCTGCTACTGCATGCTTTGGGTTTTTTTCACCCAAAGTATCTCTTGAGGCTGAATTTTGAAGGAGTTTTGCTTGTCTGCAGTTCCCCCTTGCTCTGAAAGGCTTCTTTTTGCCTTGCTGGAAGTCAGATTTGTTTGAGGTGTTTCTACAGAACTTATTGGTTGTTGTGGGAGGCTGAAAACTGAGGTTTTCAAGCTGGGCCATGGGGAGAGGTGCCCTTATATCCCATCTTAATTCCTGTTAATTCCCACATGGAGAACAATCTCAGATCAATTGCTTGAAGTGTCTCTTTAACATTCTTGCTGACTGAATAATTTTATTGCTGCAATACCAGAGTCTGCATGAAAAAATCCTCTCAAGAACGCTTTGCACTGAAAATCCTCCTTGATCGTCCAAAAGCTAGAAATGAGGTACAGTTCCTGTTTCTACTGCCTGCCTTTTGACACACCACAAAATCTAGTGTTTTAAAAGAATGGGTTTTTTTTAAAGTACTTAAAATGTTAAAACAAAATGTAAAAAAAAAAAAAAAAAAAAGTTTAAAAAACTCCTTCACGAAACCCACGTTTGCTGTGCAAGAATTCCTTGGGGTTGATCCTCAAGCTTTGGGATTGATCCTCAAGCCTTGCTGTGCTCAGTTCCCATGGGATGAGGTAGTGGGGGAAAAGAGGGTCCAACTCTGTAGGAATTGCTGTATAGATATTTATTTAGAATTTGCTGAACTACATTTTAGAGCTGTTCCTCTCCCTGTGTCCTGTGTAACGTAACACGACCGGTTTAGAGGGAATTTTGTTTCCATACATCTCACTCTTGGATGTCACAGCTCTCAGGATTGCCAGGAATGCTTCAAGTTGCACTGGAAATGGATTTATCTGTGTGCCAGGAACTAAAATCAGCTCCTGGTGCTGGTTGTGACTTCCTGAGGCTGCTGAGAATGTGCCAAGGTGCCAAACTGTGAAATGCTGGGCACTCCTTCCAGCTGTCAGGAATTTGGAGAAGGATTAATTATCCCTGAGGTTTAGGCAGCTTGCATTGCTTGTTACTTAAATTCACTGTTAAAATTCCCAGGGAAAAAATAATCGCTGTTCAAAAAGCATCATTGGTTTGATTGAGCAGCCCAGGAAGCTTTAAACTTAAATTCCCTAAGTCCCTGTTTCAGAGTGCTGGGACAGGAGATGGGGTTTCACACATGAAGTGCATAAAAGAAGCCAGATTATGGAATTTTTGGGTTCAATCATTTTCACTTTCAGTCCTATCTCTGTTGCTACTTTAAAACAAGCTCTGCCTTTAAAGTTATTTTAGAAACCCAAAGAAATAAAAAAATTGAGCTTTTTCTGGAACTTTGAGGATGATTCTGTGGCTTGTAACAAATAGATTGACAATGTCTGATGTTTTTATCATAGTCTGAGTTAGTGGAATGGCTCCTGGTCACTCATATCAACACTTACTTCTTAATTCTTGGATAATTTGAAGCTGTGAGTGGTGCTGAGCAGAGCTGGGCTGTGGTTTGTGGGGGAAAGGGGGATCAGAAGTGCCTGTCCCTGTGTACAGTAACACCCCTCCCTTCTCTTCAAGGTACGTCTGCACATGATGTGTGCAACACATCCCAATATTGTTCAAATTATTGAAGTTTATGCTAACAGTGTGCAGTTCCCACATGAGTCCAGCCCAAGGTAAGATTACATAGGGGGGTCATTCCCACAGCTTTCCATGTTTAGCCCAAGGTATAGTGCAGTTTGCTTTTTTGTTTGTTTGTTTTTAATCACAAAATTATTATTTATAGGGGGTCCCAGATGTCATATTTAATACCATATTTATCCTTCAGACCAAGCAGCACTTGCTTTTTCCCCTGGCAATGTATATTTAAATTAATTTGCATCCTTTCCTACCTGTTTGAGTACATCTCCATTTCTTAGGTTTTTCATTGATTCAGTCTGTGATATCTGTGCTGTGTGAGAGAAAGAATTGTTTCTGAAAATACTAAATTCAGCCCTGAAAACTCTTAATATGAACCCAGAAAAAGAGAAAAACGTGAAGCAGACTGTTGTTTTTTTTTCCTGCATTAATCACTTGGAATAAAAATATTGTCTTCTAATTGGATATTAGTTGAGAAAAAGCATCAGAGCTGGGAGAATTAAAGAGCTGAGACCTGTCAGTCTCTGATGTGTCTGATTTTGCTGTATGAGGATAACTAGGAGTTAATTCCTTGAGGATCCACCAGTCCTGGTCTCCATGTTCCCTATATTCCTTCCTAATTATGGCAGTAAAGCTGTAAATTAAAATCCTGGGGTTCAGTAGAGCATCCACACCCAAAAGCATCTGTTCTTTGAGGGCAGAGTTATCCCTGGATGTGTCCACGTGCCTTCCAGGGCCAAACTGGGCAGAGCCACCTGGATCTGGATGCATCCATGTGGACATTGTTTCCTCAGGAGGAGCAAAGTGGAGATTCCTGGCTGAGTCAGGTTGTGCTGGGAGCCAGAAAATCCTGCAGTTTATACAGTTAAAGTTGAAAGAACCAAAAGTACCGAAAGTAAAAGAATCAAAACTAAGGAACCAAAATTAGGGAACCAAAGCAGCTCCAACCGCTGTAGGAGAAACAAGTGTCTTGGCCTGTCAGTAAATGTAAAATATGCACTGTTAGTTTAGAAATTCTGTTCTATTTTTTTTTATTTAATGATTTTTAATGTAACAAAATGAAATGCTTTTGAACAGGGCTCGGCTCCTAATTGTAATGGAGATGATGGAAGGGGGAGAGCTCTTTCACAGAATCAGCCAGCACCGGCACTTTACTGAGAAGCAAGCAAGCCAAGTAACAAAGCAGGCAAGTCACCCCCCTGTCTGAGCAAATCCACAAGTGATAATGGCTAAATATTAACAATTCCTTGGGCTGGGAGGGGTGGAAAAAAAGGCCTAAAGAAAATAATCCTCTCTTCTCATCTGATGATCATTTGCCTGCTTTGTTATAACCTGACAATGCTGAAGTTTGGTAGAAAATAATAAAGAGCTTGAAGTTGTGGGTTTGTTCTTTGGGTCTGCTGTCTTTAACAGTGGTTTTCCTCACCTGGTCTACAGAACACTTCAAAGAGAACTTTTTTTGTCTCCTGCTATGTCCTCTCTGTTGTCCTAAAAGTGTTGCCTCCAGCAGCCCCCAGGCTCTGGTGGCTCCAGTTTGATTCCAGCTGGGAATGTGTCCCAGACTTCTCTCCTCTTTTGGACCCATGTGTCCTGGGCCAGTGGATTCCAAGCTGGGCTTTGTGCTTGGTGTTATGGAAGTCCTGCCCTTCATGGAAGATAACAAGGAATGTGCCACTTCAGTGCCTGTTTTCTGTGCTGTTTGTTCTGGTGTCGTTTTCCCTTCACTGTTTCTCTGCACAGCTCTTGAATACTGTATTTTAAATATATTTGCAGTTTAAATACATAAAAGCATTTTAAACACTCCATGGTGGTTTCTACAAGAGGTTTTGGTGTCCATCAGGCTCTTTGTTCTTAGCATCTGGTGTGATTCCATGAAATTCAGGGATCTCCAGGGTCAGTTGCCCTCAAATAGGGAGATAATACTTGGTACTGAGGCAAAAAAGAGGCCCAAATAATTCCATCTTACTTTTCTCTTTTGTGCTTTGACTTGTTTCTAATGAAGTGCTAATTGTTGCTGTTGCCTCTTTGGTTTCATCCTGCAAAAATTAGGTGGAAGCACAGAATTATTCCTGACAGTTTTTCATGTGCTTTGGGCTGTTTGATTCTGACATGTTGGGAAAATCTTGTAACACTTCACCAAAAATCGAAATTTTGAATTAAATTCTTACTCTGTGTGTGCAGTTGGGGTATTCATGTCCCAAGTAACTCTTGGCTTTAATGTTTATAGAAATGAAGTTTGAAATGTTTAAATCACTATATGAAAGAATAAGATTTTTCTTGAACTGTGACTCTTGATTCCTTGTAGCCAGTAATAGCTAGAACTTGTCACAGAGCTGCCTCATTTTCTCTGGGAATGTGTTTCTATTTGTTTCTGAGCTAAATTAACACCAAAGTTCTCATGTGACAGTAATTTGCACTTTTCTAAGGCATCAACACTTCCCTCAGGGTGCTGGGTTTGGGTGGGATCCTGCAGAACCCAACAGGAATATTTCCAAATAAGGGCTGTGTGGCTTTGCCTTCCTTCAGCCTCAGTAAAGCTGTTTAAATATTTATGCTTGGGTTTTCTTTGAATGAATTGCACTTGGAAATGTCCATTCCCTGGAGTTTTCCCAGGTTTCCAAACCACAGCAGGGTGAGAAACTGCCTTTGAAAGGATCGTGGAGTGCTTTTCTGTGTGATGGCCCATGTAATGAGGGAAGTGCAGGCAGTGCCATCAAAAATTAATGAATAAAACTGCCTGAATGTTGGATCTCAGTCAGTAACAGGTGCAATAAAACATTCACAGAAATACTGAAGCTGTTGGGTGTTAAGCAGGGTGTGGTTGCTGGGCAGGGGCACCTTGGAGGGCTGGCACAGCACAGGGAAGGGCACTGTCAGATCTGTTCCACTTTTGGGAGTCATTAATGCCTTGATTGAGTCAAATGAGATGGTTGGGCAGCCCAGTCCAGCTTGGCTTTTGTTTTCTGTTTCCTTTGAGTGAAACACAAACTGAATCCTTGGTGGGATGAATGTCCCACCCATCACTTCACTGCCCTTATTGCAGGGTCAGGCCTGTCTGAACTCAGCCTTGCAGCCAAGTGCAGTGAGAATGTTTGTTTGGAGTCTGACATACATAGGAAATGTCCTTTTTCTAAGATAATGTCCAGGCTGATGCAGGAGTTCTATAACTGTAGCTCATTTATTGTGCCCTTTTCCAGATAGCTTTGGCTTTGCAGCATTGCCACTCACTAAACATTGCACACAGAGACCTCAAGCCTGAGAATCTCCTCTTCAAGGATAACTCTCTGGTAAGATGAATACTAGAATTCTTTTTTTTTTTTTTAACTACTGAATTCTGTAAAATGGTGATTTTCAGAATAGTTGTAAAATTACATTAATCACCTTTATTGACTTTGTGCTTGTACATTCTCTGATCTCCTTGGAGCACAGTCTGTTAAATATGAGGCAGGTTCTCCAGCTCTACACAAATCCAGCTTTGCTGAGAAGATCATTCTGCCACCTGATCAGGATGTTCTGACAAGCATTAGAGGGGCTTTGATAGATCCAAACACTTCCTTGTTTCTTTTTCCTGCTCATAACCGCCCTGGACATGCAGTGACCCCCCTGCAACATGATTATTGCTCTCTCAATCTCAGAGGGGGCTGTTCCTGGCCCAGAGCACTCAGGAAAGCAAAAATACTTGTTTGAAAGATCAGGTTTTGTCCTTTTAGCTTGGGGGAATGTGAGTGTGTGAGTACAGATGAGGAGTACGTGTGGCAAAGGTGACATGAGAACAAGGCAAGACTTATGTGTTAGAAAAGCTGATATAATGATATTTATGTAATGAAGCCTCTTCTCCTTATTTCAGGATGCTCCTGTTAAACTGTGTGACTTTGGATTTGCCAAAGTAGACCAAGGTGACTTGATGACACCACAGTTCACTCCGTATTACGTAGCACCTCAGGTAACAAAAATCACAATTCTGGGCTAAAAGGGAATAATTTCTTGCCTGTGCCTCCAGAACCACAACATTCTAAAAGCCTTTGCTGTCCTGTTCAGGGCTTCTGGGGGCAGGAATCTTGAATAATTGGAGATTAGCCACCTTTGGGGCTGGAGTGTTACAGTGATGTGTTGATAAGAGCAGGGGATGGTGAGGCAGATTTCCCAGACTGTTCTTAGCACTGATTTTGTCCATTGACCTTTAACTGCATTAAAGCAGGTGTTTTGGAGAAGTTCCTGCTTTCCCATCCTCCTTCCAGCTCAGACTCATTCAGTATTACATTAAAAAGGACTGTGCTGGAACAAAAAGGCTCTGAAAAGGCTCAAAAAGGGCAGTGGTTACCTGAGCACCTCGGCTTGGCCCCTTGTCATTAAGGCACAATCTATAATTACAGACAGGCTGCTCTTTGTAGTGCTGCTTTCCCTGCTCTCTTCTGTCCTTTGTGTTGGAATCCTGAAGAAAATGAAAAGAAAACTGCAGATGGATCTTTAATTGCAGTGCTGGGCACGTCAGAGCCTTTAATCACTGGGAAGAGCAACTCAGAGATCAGACCCTGAAAGTGCCTCCTCAGCTGGAGCCTCCAGGGCCTTCTGGAAACCCAAACCCTCAGATTTGGTCAGCAAGGGACAGATTTGGTGTCATTTGTTCCTGGAAGAGGCAAAAAGGGACATCTCTGGAGCTCAGGTTACCCTCCAGACACACTCTGGGTTCTAATTCCAAGCCCAGAGGTGTTGGACATTAGTAACAGTTGCTTTAATTCAGGCAAAACTGATACATTTCATTCAAAGCAGCAAAATATTTTAGCTGAATGTAGAAAGTCCCAGTCTTTTTTAGGAAGAAAATTTTAAGTTTGAAAAAGCCTTCAGTAGCTGGAATAAGTTTACAGAATGGAAAAACATCAGAAATCTTTGTGCCTATAGATGAGATGTATTTTGCTTTGTTTTCTTTTTTTTCCTCTCATGGCAACAGGTATTGGAGGCACAGAGAAGACATCAGAAAGAAAAATCTGGTATTATCCCCACCTCTCCAACACCCTACACTTACAACAAGGTGAGTGGGAAACAGTGCTTTAAACAGTGTTTGTAAAGTGCCTTCCCCACCAACCCTGCTGGAGAAATCTATAGGCACAATTTAACACCCAAGGCAACAAAGTTTATTGCCCTAAAATGACACCCTTACAGCAGCAATACATTTGCTCTGATCTGTGACAGGAATGCATCTAAAAAGCCAAATATCTCACACTGAGTACAAGCAGGATCTAGAGAAACCAGCAGGGAAATGTCATGTTGCTGGTTATTTTGTGTTCCTTTGGCTTTTCTGAAGGAGTGACCAGGTTTGCAGTGGGATTTCTCCTTGAACAGGAGGTTCAGACCAGGCTTCACTCAGCTGAAGTGGCAAATGAGGAGATAATTATCTCTGCAGGCTCTGTCTGGGTTTGGAAGTGACACACTGAAAGTGCTGCTGCCTCTTGGTTCTTTCTGATGGAGGGAATAATGAAATGCACACTTAGCCCAACCCTAATTAATGATCCTCTAATTAAAGGAGAAACACACAAACACTGTTAAGGAGCACTAAATATGAAGAGATTTTGGAGGGAGCAGAATGATTCTACTGGAGTGAGACCATGGGGGAGGTTCTTTCATCCCTACAAGAGGGTGTTCACAGGGATCCTCTTTCCTGCTGTCACCCAGAGCTTCTGGATGTGCAGGTGTTTTGTCCAGGCAGCTGTGGTGGTACCTGGTCTATATCTGGGAACTTCTAGAAAATACCCAGTATTTTATGGTGTAGCCCTGGGCAGTACCAGCTGCTGCTGGCAAAGTGTCCTGAAGGGTCGTATTCCTTTTTGGGCATTCCAAAACCTTTTCCTTCATATTCTCATCACTGTCTCCTGCTTGCTGAGCAGTGTTTGAACCACTGAGTGTTCTTGGAGTGTCAACTCTAATTAAAATTAGCTGGTTTCTGATGCCAGTGCTAAGGATCTACCTGAGTTCCAGCTGTTTAACCCACTGTGTGCTAGAGCAGGTGATTTGATATGTGGAATTAGGGTTTGGTAGCTTCCTATAGAGAGCTAAAGCAAAGATTAACTACTCTGCAGTGGTTTGCTGACCACAAATCCACCTTCTCCAGGGTTCTGATAACCCCTGCTCCGCCCTGGAGAAGCAGACAGGGGGTTGAAGGCAGACACTTGTTCTGCAGTATCTCCTCCAGTGCTGCAGAGCTGACCGTGGTGCTGTCCTTGCTTGCAGAGCTGTGACCTCTGGTCCCTGGGTGTCATCATCTACGTGATGCTGTGTGGGTACCCCCCCTTCTACTCCAAACACCACAGCAGGACCATCCCAAAGGACATGAGGAAGAAGATCATGACAGGAAGCTTTGAATTCCCAGAGGAGGAGTGGAGCCAGATCTCCGAGATGGCCAAGGACATCGTGCGGAAGTGAGTCTGGGGAGGGAAGTGTTTTATTGCTCTTTCTGGTATTAAAAGGTTGAAAAATCCCTTGAAAGTGTGTTTTTCCAAAGGGGTTGTTCTTCTACCTTGTCTGCAGCTCATACAGCTGTCAAATCTTCTGTCATATTCAGCATAAAGTCTGATACAAATTTTTCTTCCCTTCTTTTTTTCCATCCCCAACTGTTTAATTTTGATGTTTCTGAATTTCTTAAGGGTGAATTGTGAGTTTAGTCTTTAAGGGCAGCAGATGCACCAAAGGGTTCAGAACAACACACACAACTGGCTGCCACATCAGGTGCTCTACAGCCTTGGATCCTGTACACTAATGTTTAAATTCCTGCTAAAATCAGGTGGTTTAATATCTGGTAGATCTCTCCCTTAAAACCAAGTGCACGTCATACCCAGTCTGAAAGGAGTCAGGAGAGGCAGGGAAAGGCAGGGTAAAGTCTGTCCTGAAGGTATCAGGCTCTGGAATGAGGGTTTGCATTGAAGTTTTATTCCAGATGCTCATGGAAGCTGTTTTTTGCGTGCCCTGCACATCTCTCAGCTGGGAGAGTTTCCCAGACAGGGGCTGTTTGGAAGCCGGAACGTGGCACTGATTGGGGCTTATTTTCTAAAGAGTGAGAGGGACTTACTGCCTTTGTATGACCAGAGGAACTGAAAGAATAAAAGCAACATAAATAGGAAAAAAATCAGTTGGGGAAGTAATTTTAAAGTGTCACTGGCTCCTCAAAGATGCTGTAAAATCTCCAAGGACTTCATATTGCTGGGACCTTTGGAGCAGTGCAGGAGAACCCACAGCCTTTCACCAAATAAACTGCAGGGAAACTTTGCTTTACACAACAGGTTTAAAGGTTTTAAAAGCAAAAAGTTTTATTGTCTTTTAAAATGACCATAAACTCAGCTCACAGAACGTTGTCACATGGATTCATTTATCCCACTGATGTTATCAGGACTCCTTTCCCTGCCTGTCTTTTCCAGCCAGGGAGTCTGAAGTTGGGCTTATGGTGCAGGAATACATTTAGAATTAATATAATTCTGGCTTTGTTTACATTTGATGGGTGTAGGCAGCTCTTCCTATGGAGTCTGGCTTTTGGAGCTCATATTTGGCATTCAGGAAGCTGCTGCCTCTCAAGTGTGTCGAGCTCATTTCTCGCCTCAAGCTTTGGAAGCTGGAGAGCTGGATAATAAATAGGTCAGGACTTGGAAAACCCATGGAAAAGGAGTCCCTGGGTCTTGTATCAAAACTGAACTTACAACCTGTTGGCAGCAAGTGAGGTTTCTGAGCTACCCCAGGGTCCTGCTGACATTTAGCACAAGTTATTTCCACTTCTTTGGTACATTAAACAATGTTTGCAGCCAGGAACTGATTTAGGGAATTGTCTAAGGAATGTGACAACCTCCTGGAGTCCTCCTGGTTCTCTAATTCAGACTCTTGGGAGAACTTGTCAGCACTCTGGGGGGAATTTGGCTTTTTTATGGAGCAGATCATCATGAGAACATGAGCTTATCTGCAAAACCTCTTTCCAGGATTTCATTCTAGTAGCATTTATTCCATGGATCTTTTAGCAGTAAAGAATAAAGTTCCTTCTTATTTTGAGGAACTGGAGCCTGTCAAAGTGTCCATTCCTTGAGGGTTTTGCAGGGGAAGAAAAGCTAAGAAGTTGCAGGTGGAAACAGTTAATTCAGTGAAGTTTCCATGCCCAAAATCCTTGGAATGAGTGTGGCCTGTTAATGGGATGAGCTCTAGAAGGGCATTTCCAGGGAGTGATGGTCTGGATCATTTCCAGCTCTTCTGGGAGACAATTTCCAATCTGAGAACACACAGATATTCCTAAAATGGCCCCTCAGCACCTTTCCTTTACCCTGAATCCCTGAATGTACCTGGATGAGCTTGTTAAATAAATCCACAGCAAGGCTCAGAGAACCTGGGACAAAGTCAGGCTGCTCTTGGGGCAGTTTGAGCTGTTGTGGAGTTCCTTTTTGACCCCTGTGATGCTCAGAGATTGTTCAGTACTCTGCAAATCAACAAACCCCACTTTATGGATTATTATTCCTTTCCCAGGCTGCTGAAGGTCAAACCTGAGGAGAGACTGACCATCGAGGGTGTGTTGGACCATCCCTGGCTCAACTCCACGGAGGCTCTGGACAACATCCTGCCCTCTGCCCAGCTGATGATGGACAAGGTCTGAATTCATAGAAACAATATTAGTTTGGTCAGGAATGTTGCACAGGAGCAGGGCAGCTCTTGGATGGTTGGAGTGTTTTGTTTAGGAGAGCCTGAGATCTCTGTAAGAAAATGGAAAGAGGGAGAAAATGGAAATAAAATATGAAATTTGGGCTTGGGGGAGTTGCTCCAGGATTGATGTTAAGAGCAGCCATGTGCTGAGGAGCAGAGAGCAGAGCATGGTAGTGGAATCTTTTCTTCTTTTTCCCCCATTTTATACCCCTACTGTGACCTCAGTCCTTGTTTCCTTTCAACTCTGCTCAAAGAGGAGTTCACTCAACACTCAGATGTGATGAATGTGAGCGGTAGAGATGATCCTTTGTCCTGTTTCCCCCTGTGAGGTTGGGGTATATTATCCCACAGTCAGTGACCATAGCTCTCATCATGTCTTGCTTCAGGCAAACCTGATTTTTGTTCTATATCTCCAAAACAAACAGGATTTTGGTGCTTCTTTTTCCCATGCATGGCTAACATTGTGCACATGCTGTTCTTTAATTCACAAGAGATCTAAAGTGCAGCTCTTCTCCTTCCAGGCCATGGTTGCAGGGATCCAACAGGCTCATGCAGAACAACTTGCAAACATGAGGATCCAAGACCTCAAAGTGAGCCTGAAACCCCTTCACTCCGTGAACAACCCGATCCTGCGCAAGCGGAAACTGCTGGGGTAAATAAAGCTTCCAGGGACACAGAGGGGCAGCTGGGAGGCTGGAACAGGGCTTTGGGAATGTCCCAGGCTCACTTCTGAGGTGGTTGAACTCTTGGAGTCACTGGGACAGTGTGGTTTGATTTCCGAGGTGTTCTGGTGAGGGCAGGAGGAGCTGGATCCTGTTACTGTGTTAGAACAAATCCCTTATGAGAAGATGGGTCATGTGCAAGAGAAGGCAAAGTGGGAGAAAGAATTCCAAGATTTTTTTATGATCCTGACACTTATTTACTGAAAAAGTCAGGTGATTTCTCTTTGTTCAAGTTAATCTGAAAAGTAGGATAATGCATTTTAGGACTTCCTTGAACTAATTTAAAGGAATATTTTTTTTCAAATGGTCTCATAATAAAGGACAATAATTACAATTAATGCCAAGTCTGTCTCCCAGCTCTCCAGGGATTGAAGGAGGGTGTTTTACTGGTGCAGTTATGCAATGAGTAATGAACTTGAGCTGTGACCAAACTCTTAATTATTTCCTCCTTGTTCTTCCCCAGCACCAAGCCAAAGGATGGGGTTTATATCCATGACCCTGAGAACGGAAGCAACGATTCCAACGTGGCTCTGGAGAAGCTGAGAGATGTGATTGCCCAGTGCATTCTCCCCCAGGCTGGTAAAGGTTGCCACTTTTAAGAAAGTTCCATTTCTAAACGTGCAAGACACTGACTTTGAGTCAGTCTGTGTCAGTGGGGAGGGAGGAAAAACAAAACTCCTGCTGCCCTGGGCACTCTGTGGGCTGGGATTTGTGTGGTGTCAGTGTGAGCAGGGACATGCAGAGCTGGGAGAAGAACTTTGAGCCAGGAGTGGCTGCTCTGAACCCATTTCCTGGTGTGTGTGGGGAGAGGAGGAACAACTGCATGTGCTGTTGGCTGGAGCCCTGAGTGAGGCACGAGGCCAAACCTCCTGGTTCTTCTCTTTGTGCTCCCAAACAGGAGAGAATGAGGATGAGAAGCTGAATGAGGTGATGCAGGAGGCCTGGAAGTACAACCGGGAGTGCAAGTTGCTGCGGGACACTCTGCAGAGCTTCAGCTGGAACGGTGAGGAGCTGCTTCCTTCCACAGGGAAGGGGGAAAACTGAGTGGGAATAACCCCAAATCTACTGAATTTGTCTGGTTTAGGTTTCACAGTGATTCAGGCCTCCTGCCAGAATGGGTGTGCTCAAAATGAGGGGCAAAGTTCTGCTTTGAAATCTCTGAGGTTCAGGGTTGAGTTTACAGAGGCACCAAGTGGTGTAGGAACAGAACAGCACAAATGAATTGTGATGGAAAAGGGGGAATGGTTTTAAACTACCAGAGGGCAGGGTTAGGTGGGAGATTGGGAAAGAATCCTTCCCTGTGAGGGTGGTGAACCCTGGCACAGGTTGCCCAGAGAAGCTGTGGCTGCCCCTGGATCCCTGGAAGTGTCCAAGGCCGGGTTGGATGGGGCTTGGAGCAACCTGGTCTAGTGGAAGGTGTCCCTGCCCATGACAGGGGTTGAACTGAATGAGCTCTAAGATACCTTCCAACTCAAACCATTCCATGATTCTCTGATCCCTTTAGGAACCTCTTCAGCTGGTTTCCTCCCAGCTGTTCATTCCCTCTTTCTTCTGAAGGCCACTGCCCTCACCCCTGTGAGCACAAAATCTCATCAGCTTGGCTTGGGTGGGAAAACCAGGACAGTCACCTTGGGATGCTCAGATGGCTCCTGGACAAAGCAGGGTGGCACAGGGGTCAGCCCCAGGAGCAGAGGGGACCAGGGCCATCATCCAAGCTCACAGGGCTTGGTTGTGCTTCTTCCCTCCTTCTGTTTTGCTTGATTTGGTTTAATTTAGGTCTTTAAGTGCTCAATTTTCCAACAGAACTAGACATTGTAACTCATTTTGATTCTCTTGCCCTAAGTTTGTGTGAACCATTGTTTAACTCCAGGCAGGATTTCTTCCCTCCTTTGTTCCCAGCACCTGACTCCCTGTTCTTTCCCTTCCAGGCAGAGGATTCACAGACAAAGTGGATCGACTAAAACTGGCAGAAATAGTCAAACAAGTCATCGAAGAGCAAACAAACTCCCACGACTCTCAATAGCTGGAGCTTCTTAATCTTATTTTTTTTACCATTTAAGATTTATTCTTTAACTGTAAAAAGTATTTTTATGTAAATTAATAAATCATAATTATTTCATTAAATTTCCATACTGCTTGAAAATGCTGTATAGTTGTAGATACAAAAAAAAAAAAAATCATTGGTACTGTAATATTTTTTTAAAACTCAGTTCCTTGAGGTCTCTACGATCACTTATGTACTGTTAATCATGAGGGCCCCAAAAGGGGTGGATTATATTGCTAAAGACCATTCTTTCTCTTAATAACCAGTTGCAGGAGCTGCTTCCATCTGCCCCATCCAGCACTGCAGTGACTGTGTATGAGAACAAGAGCCACAGTTTAACCCCTTGCTCAGTGAGTACTTGAAGCAAGTGCTGTGAAACACAAATTCATAGCTGCTCTTGGCACCTAAATTCTGATTCTTTAGGTAGAGGCAACTAAATTAAATAACCTTCAGTGTGGCTCAGTGCCCTGAGAGCCCCCTTGGCCTTGCCCAGGGCATCTGAGTCCATGTGCTTGCTGGAATTTTCAGTTCTGAGCAGTAACTCTCCTCTTTTTGTCTCCTTCCCATCTTCCCCAGACCTTCATCAAGCCTCATCCTTCTCTCTTTCTCCCTCTTCATCTTCCTCAGACGTTTTGTAAGGCTGAATTCAGCATAAAACTCTTCTTTTTCTCACCTCCTCCAACAGCAGAACAGAAGAATGTTCAAGTTCTTATTACAAGTTATTTTTATTTTCATGGTGGGATCTTCTATGGACAAAACCCAGCGTTGGGTTTGTTTCCTTCTGCCCCCAGTTGTGTGTGATCCAACACTGTATTCCCATTCTTTCCTTTCTAGGAGATCCAGCTCTTGGTTTTTGACTCTTCCTCTTGTTTGAGGGATTATCTGGCAGGGGTCTCAGTGCTGCTGTGGGATCCCCCAGAGATCCATGTCCTGTGTCCCCTCCAGAGCCCAAATTCCCATTTCTCTGATGCCTTCGAGCTCCTTTTTGGGGGAGCCACAACTCCAGGGCTGCTCCTTCCCACAGGTCCCTTTGCTGCCTCCCCAGGGCAGGTTCTTACACCAGTCTGGAACATTGGCTCCAAAAGCTGCTTTTTTTAACCTTAATGAAGCAAACAAATGAACAGAATCTGTACATATTTCTAGTTTTCTACCTTTGGCTGCTTTTCTTTCTTTTGGGACTGGGTGGAGGCTTTTTATAGAGATATTTTGGTACCAAACCTGTGCAGACACTGAGTGAGTTTGGTCTGTACTGAAGTGCCAATTCAGGGCTACAAGTAATGACTTTGAACATTGTATTTCAGAGCTCCTCACTTTTGGGTTTACATTGACAAACCTGAGCCATGAACCCCCCAATTCTTTCTTAGGGCAGTTCTTTGTTGTCTCTTTTCTACATCAAACTCCCCTTAATTGATGGCAAAGCAGTGTCTGACTCTTTCTATACAGTTTTGTAAAGGGTGATTTAGTTTTTCTACATGAAGGAGATGCTTCATTTCCCCTTCTCTGTCAGCACCTTGTCAACCTTCCTTTAGTCCTGATTTCATTTTCCAATGCCTGATTTATTGCAGAGGAAGAACAGTCCCTATTCCACCATCCCTTTGATGGGAGCAGGGAGTGTTTGTGTGAGCCAGAATTGTACCTCTGACACTACATGGGATATTTGTGCACTGACCTGTCCATGAAAACTGAAGAGAATTAGCAAGAAACAAAAATATTTGTCATTTCTTGGTTGTATCAGCAACTTTGCAGGGCCTGTGATGTGCATTTTTGTCCTTGCTCTCATTCTAGGTCATGTCAGCGTCCACACAAGTCTGGAAATGTAAGATGGTTTCACTTTTAACTTGAAATCCATGGTTTTTTGGGGAAATTGAAAGTTTTAAGTGTGGCAAATAGAGATAGAAACAAGAAATCACCTGTGTTTGAACAGGAGTGCAAAAACTTCCCTCCAAAGGCACTTTGTGATTCTGCCCTCCAAGGAGGAAAATACTCAGGCAGTTTTTTGGGAGACAGAAGTTGGCAGGAAGATGAATCAGATTGGAGCTACTCCCAGGGTGAGCACTGGAATTTTGTCACAAAGAACTGCTTTTTATGGGTTTACTCTAAATTTTATTGTCTGGTATAAGTAAGAAAGGCCTGATCTGAAGCAGAGGGAGGAGGGACAGATTAAGAAAACACAATTTGAAGCTTCAAGGTCAAATGGTTTTATTTCTATGAGAAAATTGATTTTTTTTTTGTCTCTTTGAAAAGTTTTACATTTCAAAGTTAAATACACTTTAATGGATTCATTTTCATATTTTAAAGTAGCATTTGACTTTCTCCTTCCTGTGTTTTATTTTATTTTTCAGTTGACACAAATGCAGGACATCTTGTCTTGATTCTGTAAGGTTTTATTTGGTAATAAATCTACTGATCCTTTATGGCAGACTGTGAATATTGTAAATATCTGGAGCTGGAAGGGTTGTATGGGATCAAAAAAGACTTTGTACAAACACTAAAAACATGTGGGAAAGTTTTGTAGGTTGTTTGGTTTTGGGGTTTTTTTTGTTTGTTTTTTTTTTAGAATTTTATTTAAGTGAAGAAAAATCTCTGAAATCATTTGACCTTTTCAAAATTTGATGTATATCTGACTTCTCCTGTGATTGATTATTTTATGCTTTTATATCTGTATTAAAAATTAGAAGAACCTGACTGGGCAAAAGAGATTTTAGTTGGAAATGGCAACATGTCAAAGTTTTGCTGTCATTACTCCTGGTTTTCATTTTGGAAATCCCAGTCTGTCCCCACATGCCACGTTTAACTTCTGTGTGTTGAGATGTTCCCATTTCTCTCCTCAGTGTTCCCTGTTAGTTCCTTTGGGATCAGTGTTATATTGTAAATATTCCCCCTCAGTGTATATAAATGATTTTACTAAACTCAACAGTTCCTGGCTACTTTTGTTCAGTTCCCAAACCGCTGCAGGGCAGGAGGGGAGGAAGGACAGCTCTGGGATTCTCCTGCCACCCTGCTTTTCCCTGGAAGTGTCCAGAAGGTGTGTGAATGTGGCACTTGGGGACATGGGTTAGAGGTGAATGTGGTGGTCTTGGGTTAATGGTTGGATTTCATGATCTTAGAGGGCTTTCCAACCTTAGTGATTCCCTGATTCCTTTATTCTCCTGCCATCCCACTTCTCCTGCCACCCTGCTTCTCCCTGGAAGTGTCCAGAAGGTGTGTGAATGTGGCTCTTGGGAACATGGGTTGGAGGTGAACATGGTGGTGGTGGGTTAATGGTTGGACTCAATGGTCCTAGAGGATTTTCCAACTTTTAAAGATTTGATTATTCTCCTGGCACCCCACTTCTCCCTGGAAGTGCCCAGAAGGTGTGTGGATGCAGTGCTTGGGGGCGTGGGTTTGTGTTGAATGTGGCAGTGCTGAGGGAATGTTGGCTCAGTCTTAGATGGCTTTTCCAACCTTAATGATCCCATTATTCTCCTGCCACCCCCAGCCCTCTCCTGCCACGCTCAGCCCCCATCCCACCTCCCTCACCAATGAGAATAAGCACTTGGCTTTACATTTTGTGAGATGAAAGGATGACTGACAGACTGGGCTGGATGAATCCCTAGGAATTGGTGTGCTCTGCCTGGCAACATAATCCAGAACTGCCTTTTTTAAGCCCAGCTTTCCATTAGCTGGCAGCAGCACCTGCCCAGTGCTCCCAGTTCAGCCCCCAGGTTTGTAGGATTGTTGTAGCCATGACCGGGCAGTGAGGGAGGGAGGAGTGAGTCCTGTGTTCAGTGACATTGGAACTGGGAAGCACTTCCTGTAGGAGGAGGATCTCTGCAGGGGCTGATCTGGAGGTGGGTGAAGTGGGAGCTCTGATGGAACCTGTGGCAGGACTGGGAGACACTGGTCCATGAGAAGTGGACTGGCCTGTCTTCAGGCTGGCCCTGGGCTTTTCCAAGGAGCTTGGAGTACTCCCCTCACCTTTCTGGACACAGAAGAGTGACCTCAGTGTGGCACTTGTGCCCTTCCTGCCTCTGGAAATAGTTTTGTTATCCTCAGGTATGGGTTGATTTGTTGACAGGAGCCAGAGAGACCCTTGTCCCATTGTCCCTTGTCCTATCTGCAGAAGTGGCTCTGAGAAGGGGTGGTGGGGCAGCTGTGAGAGTCCAGGGCCTCTTCTCAGTGAGAGGTAACATCCATCTGCTTGGTGCCTTTGAGGAATTAATAGTGGGTTGGATGGGTTGGAGCATCCAAACTGGGAAAGGGAGTGAGAGAACAATTTCCTGGGAGCACTTAAGGCAGCCAAACCAGCTGGGAGTGCTCTCCAGAAGTGGCACAAAACTACTCTGCCCTCCTTCCAGGAGGATGTGTGGCCCAAGGAATGCCCTTCCCTGTCCAGCAAGAAAACTCCCCTCAAACCGAGTGATGTGATGAGCTTGTGAGGGTCTGTCAGCACCCCCTGAGGGCTCTCACTGCCACAGCCGAAGCTCCATGAGCAATCCTGGCATTGTTTCCCAGATAATCTTCCATCACTTCCCACTTCTGAAGCCTTAATCCCCTTTTAAACAAATTGCACTGGCTTGTCACGCTGTCCCCAGACGGGGTCAGCCCAGGGAGCCTCTCAGGGAGGAGATGGGGGTGTTTAATGGTGTTTAATGTGCTGCTTCCTCGTGCCCCTGTGGGGAGGGGGCTGTGCCAGGGAGTGGGTCCCATCCTCCCCGTGGAACTCCTGGGGCTACACAGCCTATGAGACAGGCATTCCAAGGAGACTTGTCCCCCAGTTCAGAAACAGCCCAGCTGAAGTGTCCTGTATCATCAGCACTCAGGGAGTAAATTACACAGTTCACCTCAGGCAGAAAGATTTTGGAATATAAAACCTCCCTGTATTTACTTGTGACTCCCAAGAGGACATTATGTCTGAACTTTGAGACTAGAGAATGAGCTCCTGAGGAGGATTTAAAGGCCCAGGTGGAAGAAGACACCTCAAAAGCTGCTGAGAGTTAAAACTCTCCTGTGTGGGACTTCCCGTGGCAGCAGTGGAAAGCTGGACTCAGGTATGAGACTTGGCCTCCAGCTGCAGAGGACTCATTAAAACTGATCTGGATGCAAGCACAGGGTTGTAGCTGGACCTGGTTTTTATCCTGTGGAACAGCAAAATTGAATTGTTTTGCTCAGCCTCACTGTGTAAGGGAAAATCAGTCATTGAAAAAAATACCAGGGGCATTGTGTGACTGACAGAGTTAATTACACAAAACTGGAGTATTTCCTCTTCTTGTATAACCTGCTATGTGAAAAATTTGGGTTAGACCCAAAAAGTGAAGCTGTTAGAAAATAAAGAGTGTAAATTAAGGGAGTTGTTTCAACCCAGCTAAAGATCTTTTTTATTTTCTGTATCATGGATGGACCTCAGTAAATAATTCACTTGAGCATCTGGAAATGTAGAGAGAGATTCAGATTTAATCCTGCTCACCTGGTTCATGATGCTCCACAGGGTTGAAGAAGCTGATTTTTGTGAGTATTGTGGCTGAGCAGGGGTTGGCACGAAGAAAAGAAGGGAAATGTGCAGAATTCCAGGCATGGAAGTGAGCACTGATGTTTTTTATCCTGCTTTGCAATTCTTCATTCCCTGCAGTTGACTCTTAGTATGGTGCATGTTCTCATGGTTATAGTGAATTCAAAGTCGGAGATATAAAAAATATTCACTTTGCTTTACTGTTATTTTGCAATGGCAAATACTTCAAGAAATAAAACAAATACTTGGAGAAGTAAAACATCCTCTGCTGGAGCTGGATGAGACCTCTGAGCTGTTACACACCATCTGCTGCATTTCTAGGGATATTTCCAGAAGCAGAAAGTCTGGACTAGAGATTTACCATGTTGAAAGAATCCATTTAGAGTCCACATGACCTGTAAAATAAATAACTATCTCCACTGAGTGTCTCTGACAGACCCGCTCAGGCTCCTCCCTCCCCACGGCTGGGACAGTTTGGAGCCGACAGCCCCATCCCGGGTCTGGATGACATTCCTAAAACACGAGGAGGTGTTGGCAGGACACTTCAGAGCAGCGTGGACGTGGAGCCCTCAGTGTCTGGGGGGCTGGTGGGGGCTGTGCTGGAGTAGAACTTCTTCTGGGAGCGCAGGAGGGGGGTCTGGGTGTCCACGTCCCGGCGGGCGCCGCGTTTGAGGGACAGGAACACGTGCTGGGTCCATCCATACACCAGGCAGTTCAGGAGCCCCTGGGAAGCTGCTGTGAGAGCCTGGGACAGAGCACAGGGGGGATCAGGGCTCCTGGAATCCAGCACTGCACAGTGCTCTGAGCTCCCTGCCAGCCTGGAAAACCTCCCACTTCCAGCATGGAATTCTGGATTCAGCATTATTCACCCGTACCCCATGTGTGATAGAGCAATCTCATGATACTTTAAACAAATAGGTAATAAATATCTAATTATATATAAACCCATGGAAATGTATTTTCTAGAAATATATTTTAATATATTATATATAAGATATTTTAAATAATTATATAATATAACACAATTTCTAAATTCTGTCTCAGCCACAAGAAGCAGCTGGACAAGTGTTATGAAGGAATCACTTTTGGAGACTTAGGGACACAGGGAAAACACAGAGACAGAGGGGAAAAAAACCAAACTGATTTCTGGGGATCCTCTCTGGTCCTATTGGCTACAATTTCCATGACCACAGAATTGCTGAGGTTGGAAAAGGCCTTTAAGATCACCAAGTCCAAACATCACCCCAGCACCACCACCATGTTCACCACTAAACCGTGTCCTCATGGTGCTGGATTTTGGTCACTGAGACCTTTTCACATAAATCACTCAACAGAGATCTTTGCCAGCCAAAAGCACAAACCAGACTCAGGCTCACACAGAGTGATCCTTGTCCAGCTGCATCCAGCTGGGACCAGACTCAGGATTAGGAGGCTCAGGGTGAGAAGGCAAAGCCCAGGAGGCAGCAGGGGCAGAGATTTACCTGCAGGATCAGCAGGGCCATGTAGATCTTGCTGGTTGTTGAAACAGTCAACTTCAGCATTCCAAGGAGGACAGCTGTGAAAAGGGAAGGACAAGAGGGTGTTGCTTTAACCCCACCTCTCTGGAGTTCCACAGGGGAGCACTGTGGGAGGAACTCAGCTCTCTGCTCACCTGGGGCCCAGCAGCAGAAGAACACAACGGGGTAAAAGACCACTCGTTGTTCCACCATCTTAATCATGGCCCACTGCTGGTCCCCCAGGAACCCTGTGGAGTTCACAAACCTCTTGTACAGACCTCGGGCCTGGCTGAGGATCACCTGAAAGGGAACAGGCAGATGATATTGTTTGGGCTGGGAACTGCTGGGTTTACCCAGGACAGGTCCCACTTCAGTCCATCCAGTCTTTTCCCACAACAGTGGGGGAAATCCTGGGAGAGATGTTGTGACCTTTTCTAAACTGAAGACTGAATTGATTTAGACCCTTAGAATCATAAAATCGAAAAGGAAAGACCTTCAAGATCATTGAGTCCAAACATTAATCACCTCCTGCTGACTATGCAGTAGGTGAACTCTGCTGCCAAGCAGAGCCTTCTCTACCTGCTAAATCCTTTTGGGGATGGGCTGACAGAACACAGGACTCTAGATGGATTTATGTGGTGGCACAGTGCTATTTTCCCTCCCCTACCACCCCTTCCAAAAGGGAAGCAGCACCACATAGTTACTCCTCTGCCATATTTACAAGAGCTTGTAGTGGAAGGACAAGGGGGAATGGCTTCAAATTGAAAGAGAGGAGGCTTAGATGGGATGTTGGGGAGAAAGGGTGCTGAGACCCTGGGACAGGTTGCCCAGAGAGGTGGTAGAAGTGATGGAAGTGTCCAAGGCCAGGTTGGACAGGGCTTGGAGCAACCTGGTCTAGTGGAAGGTGTCCCTGCCCATGGCAGGGGGTGGGACTGGGTGAGATTTAAGGTCCCTTCCAACCCAAACCATTCCACATGACAGCCTGGCCTCTGGTGCCATCCAAGCAAAGATGCAGAGATGCAAAGGCCCATGTTTCTTACCAGAATGGCCACGAAGCTGATGAGGAAGGAGATGAGGAAGACCCCGATGCCGTAGAAATGCATCGCGCGGCAGACGGAGCCACTCAGGGTCTGCGGCTCGTTGGTGGTCACGGCGATCTCCGTGTGCATCAGGAGACAGCTGTGGGACAAAGGGGACAGCCTGAGCTCCTGCCCTGCCCCAGCAGCCCTGGGGGTGTGTCAGAGGGGCTGAGGCTCACCCGTGCTTCTGGCTGAAGTTCTGGTAGCAATTACTGCTGTTGCCCAGGCAAAACACCGGCACCATGAGGAGGAAAGGGATGAGGCTGAGAGGAGACAGGACAACAGAACAGTCACTGGTTATTGCACTGCTCCATTCCACCCCCAGCAAACACCACTTGGTTTTTCTCCTGTCACTACAGAGGAATTAAAATTGGTTTTGTTGACATTGCTCTGGAAAAGTATTTTATCAGCTTTACCAACGTCGGTGCTTTCATTCGTGAGGGCTAATCATTGGTGAAGGGAGCACCTTCTGGAAAACCACATCTAGTTAATAAAGTTATGATTAACTTGGTTAAAAAAACCCTCTTACTCTGTGTTTGTGAGGTCACACTGCTGTTAATGATGAGCTTTACGGGCTTTAGGAAATCTTGCTTCAAAACAAGTAGGAAGCAGAGATCAGCACGCTGCAGTTTGCCAAACCCACATCATCCTGCCAGGGAGAACTAAACCTTACCAAACCCACATCATCCTGCCAGGGAGAAGGAGAACTAAACCTTACCAAAACCACATCATCCTGCCAGGGAGAACTAAACCTTACCAAAACCACATCATCCTGCCAGGGAGAACCAAATCTTACCTCGATGAGATCGTTGCTATTCGGCCGACACAACTTGCATAATCTACAGCCTGCAAAATCCAACAAGTTTAGTTAAATCATCATTCCTGTACAGTCCCCTGGTCCACAGGAACCAGTTCCCAGGGAGCATTTCAGCAGCTGAGGGTCCTTCAAAAGCTGATTAATCCCCAGGACAAATGTTTGGTTCTAATTTGCACTGAGTCAACATGGCCAAGTTCAGCCTGTGCTGATTTGGAATGGAATCAACCCTCGCTGACTGTCCTGTTCTGCTTCAGGAGGAGGATCAGAGAAGGGAACTTGGACCTGGACAAGGAGCAGAGACTTGATGAGGTCTCTGGTGGGCCTTGCTTATTTTTTGTACTGTTTATTCACTTCACTTGTCCCTGTTCCTCAGAAACTTCATGTTCTGGTGAAGAAATCCAGGCAGTTTGGAGTGTCCTGGTATCTGCTCACCAGGAAACGTGCTTTGGCAGTGGGACCCACCCAGCAGCATCAGTGCACTGTGGGACACTGAAGGGTGGGGAATTATGGCACATGTGGGAGCCCAACAAGAAGGAATCCAGTCCTGTAAGTGGATCCAAACCCTATGGATAAAAACCCTTTAAATTTAGAGTGATCTGCCCAGCCTGCTGCTCCTGAACTGACAGATGGAATATCTGGAATACAAAGCAAATGTTTGGGGAAGAAAAGGCTGTCTGGGGCAGTTTGATGGGATGAGCTGCATCAGGAATATTCCACCTTGCAGGAATACACAGAGAGCCACACAGCAGTCACGGTGCCTCCCTGTTTAGCCAGGAGTGAGGTGGGAAACAACTGCAGGGAGGATTTTGGTCATGAGGTGTGTGAAGTGTTTGCTCAGCCTGCAGTCCAGGGAGTGTTTTCCTGAGTGCTGTGTCCTTGTTCCTCAGTTCCCAGTGATTACACTGGTGCCCCAAAGGGCTTTTGGAAAGGCCAGGGATGATGAAGTAAGGACTGGTCCCTGCTCCCCAAGCCAGCAGGTCCTGTTAGCACTAGTTCCCTTCACACCTTCTATCTCAAACCCTTACTGAGTGTGACACCTGAGGAGGACAGAAATTGTCAGTTCTCAGTTCCAGGCTGTCCAGGTACCCCCTGCTCTCCTGTCCCTCTGCTGTGTCCTGGCAGAGGGCAGTCACCAGTTTGGTGACAGCACCAAACCAGTCATTCAGCTGCTGCAAACCCCTGGTCTGCCAACTGCTTCCCCAGCCCCCAGTGCTGAGAGGCTCTCGCAGACCCAGCAGTAACTCTGCTGACCTCATCAGTTCATACAGCCACAGGGCAGAAGGGCCTTCAAGGTCCTTTTGGTGAGTAAACTGTTCTGTGTGCAGCCCCCCACACCCCACCATGCCCCACAGACAGACCTGGGCACCCAACTGTTGTTCCACATCCGTCCTACTCACCTGGGGGAGCACCCTGAAGAGGTTCTGGTTGTACTTCACCTTTAGGTCCCTGTACAGGTGCCACGTGTAGTTGACAGTGTAGAGGAAAGAGGCCACGTAGAATATCTGGGAAATACAAACATTTCAGTCCTATAATAACAGTTTCTGTAGCACATTTAGTTCCTCACTGATGATCCAAAGCCTGTGGAGCGAGGTAGGAAGAAACATCTGCCAAAGGTGAGGATCCTTCACAACCCCTTGTGCTCCCATCCAGGTGGGAAGAGCCAGGTTGAGGAGAGGCTCCCAATTTATACCTCACAAAAGCAGCTTCACTTGGGGCTCAGACAGGGGACAGGAGAACTAATGACAGCTGGGCTGTCATAGAAAATCAAATCTTTGTGATTTGGCTCATTTTTTAGCCCAAATTTTGGCAACAACAGGTCCAAAGGCACTTGGATCCTCTCTGTGCTACATCCATCAGGAAACAACACAGATGTGACATTTAGACTTTTGCATAATGAGCTCCCTACACTGAGAATTCACGGAAATGCAAAACAATGGGATATTTAAAGAGGAAAGTGAGGGCAGAGAATATCTGCCTGAATTAACATCTCAAAAATCCCTTTTCTCTCCCTGGGAAAAAAGAGGAGAGAAAAGACAGAGCACACTGTTTCCCACTGAGACTTTCACAGCCTGAGACAAGACCAAATATCTAAAATTTCCTGCAAAACCTCCCAAGTCTTTATCCCATTTATTTTCAAATCCATGTTTGCTCCAAGCTGCCTGATCAGACCATGTCCACTCATGTGCTGTTTGTTACAGGAAACACACACTTCAGTGGCAAAGGCAAAGAGGAAGGGCTGGACAAGGGAATTTCTTTTCTTTGCCAAAAAGATAAGGAGCACAGGTTTGCCACCCTGGAATCATCCACGTCTGGGAAAGGAGTCACTGAACAAACTCAGCCTCCTTCACTGAGGTGGCAAATGCTCTTGGCTGCCTCAAGGGGCTGAGACATTGCAGCAGGAACATTGCAGTGACTTTCCAGCTCATTAAACGAGCTTTAATGAGTGTTTGCTGCCCTTTTTCAATTACTTCCAGGGAAGGTCATCAAAACAGTCCACAAATATTGCTGTCTTGCACTTCAGGCTCAAGAAATGTCAGCACTGCCTTCTGGTTTGGTGGAGGGAACCAAATGCCCCTTGGGAAGGTGCCAGCAGAAAGTGAAGGGAATTCTGCTTTCCTGAGCCCCAGCTTTGGGGCTCGGGACAGTCCTGCAGCACTTCCCACGAGGAGATAAAGCAGAGACACCAGGGGCCCTCATTATCCCTCTTGTGTGGCTCCCATTGTGCTCCTCAGCATGGGCACAGCCTGCCAGGACTTTATTAGGCCACTGGAATTGAACTGGAAGAATGTGGGGGAATTGTGCAATTATAACCACAATCTTTATTCTGCACTTTATTATTGTAACACAGAGGCAAGGCAGGGAGGAGGAGAGAACAACGTCAAGGGACAGCAAAGGGAGCAGTATTTACATTAATGTCAATCAAAGCTCTGGGGCTGAAACAGGGAAAACCCAAGAAACAAAGCAATCTCCTCCTTTAGGGATGTTGGAGAGCTCCATCCGCTGCAACACCAGCCCGTGGTGATAAATTGAGGGCAAACAGCCTGAATAAGGCAAAAGATTGTCCTGCTCCTGAGGCAATGCCTTGGGACATCCCAGGGACCCTGGTGTGAGTCTCTCCAAGGGCTGCCAGCTGCAAACACCCTGCTGAGCCCCCCCTGCCCATCCTCACCCTCTGACCTCTGACTTTTTCTAGGTGCTGGTGTGCAGAGAAGCCACGTGTGTTTATGAGACACCCTGTGAGACATTTATTTGCTCATTCCATCGGGTTCTGCTCCACAGAAGCTGCTGGTTGAACCTCTCCCTGGTTCCTTCTTACGCACAAGGTGTTCCCAACACCCCCAAGGGCAGAGGGGGGTGTGGGGTGGGGTGTCCTGCTCAGTCATGTGCCCACTGTGGACAGGTTGCCATGGCAAGTGCTCCATTTGTTTTCATTTCTCCCAAAGCAAACAGCAATGACAGCTCCTGCCAGGCACAACCTGGCTCTGCCACCAAGGCAGTCTTTGTGCCAGGGGGGACTGGAGTGGCACGTGGAAGAGGGGCCTGGTGACACTGGCTGGGGTCAGGATGTGGCCCTGCACACCCCACCACAGCACCCTGACTGTCCCCTCTCCTATAAGGACTAACCCAAGGCCAGTTCTGTTCACCCAGCATGAAAACAAAGCTCCCACTTTGCCCCCCTTCTGTGCTGGTGTCCCTGAGAAGCACAGCCACAGGCTGGAAAAGGGAGGGCAGAAACAGCCAGAAGTGCATGGGAGCTGAGAAATGATGCCATATTGTCTATATCCAACCTATTTTTCCTCCAGCAGTGCAACCTGCTGTCTCCAGGCCATAAAAAAAATCACACTTCATCAAGGATTGTCCCCAGGCAAGGGAAACAGCTCAGGAACACCTTCAGTTCCACCTGCTCCTTCCACCTTTCAGCTCTGGAAAGCCTTTCCCAAGCTCTCCTCATTTTCCCCTGTACCATCATCTTGAAAACCTTTGATGCTGTTCTGCATTATTCCCAAGAGGCCAAGTTACCCACATCCCACTGTTTCATCTCTCAACAGGAACACATTGTGGAGCCTCCACAGCAGAGCTGGAGAGAGCAGAGATGAGCCTGGAGTGGAACAGCTGCTCTCGACAGCCTCAGGAACACACTTGAACCCACAAAAACAGCTGCTGAAACACCCCCGGGCTGCAGGAACCCATCCCCAGACACACAAGAGCAGGAACAACTCCATTCCACACATGTAGCTACTTCCCTGCCCTCTCTGAGGCACCCGGAGATCCCCTCTGACTTCTGATGCTGCTGCTCAGTGAGGATATTTAGTTCCCACCACACTCCCAGGGAGATTCCCGAGCCCACACAACACACAGCAAGGCTCCCCAAAGCCCCTTGCTCTTCCCAGCCATGTCCTTTAAAAGGAAACTGTCAATCCCACGGATCATCACTTGTGAACCGCCGTCCTGGCCCGGGCTCGGCAGAGTTCTGATCCTGTACAATTTTTTTTGGAGCAGTGATTTCCAAAGCCTAATTCCAAAAAGGGAACCAGGTGAGACAAAAGCAAACTATCAGGAAAATGGAGTCCACTGCCTCTGCTCCAATTAGTCTCCAGCACAGGGAATCAGCTGGAAAGCAGCTGAATCACTGGGGCTGAGCCTGTGCTGACGGAGCAGCCCCTGAGCACCCTTGGGAAGAGCAACCAAGAGCAGGGATGTTTATATGAGTATGCTGTAAATGTGAGCTCAAGTGAGTCCCAGAATGTGTCTGCTCCTGCCCAGGCTAGAGGAAGCACGAAGAGGAAAAAAAAATCTGCTCTTTGAGAGGCACAGAGATCCTCTGGGCAGGGATCCAACAGGAAAGAGATCAAGCCCCATCCACTCACTTTACACAAGCAACCACAAAATCCCATGATGTCTTTGCCTTCCTCGTGGCCTCTCCCACACCAGAGGATCCTAAACCCAAATGTCATTATCTCTCTTTTCCACACAAAGGCAAGACATCAATAAGTCAAGTTCACACAGGGAGCCTCTGCCAAAACCTGTCTATAAACAGCCCCCACGGTCACAGTGATCACCAGAAGGGTTAATTGTGGCAAATTACTGTTCCAGCAGGAATGTGATGCCACAGGGTTAGGATTAGGGACACTTACCTGTCCTGTTGCTTGCAGGTTGTAGCAGATGAGGTCCTGCTGGGAGGTGGGTGAGCTGTAGAGCAGAGCCCCAGCCAGCCAGCACATTCCCAAAAACAGGTCAGAGAGGCTCAGGTAGAAAAGTGGACGCACCTGGGGGAAAGTGAAAAGGCTCACCAGGTGTGAGAGGCACCACAACACTCCCACACCCACCCACAGCTGCAGCTTTACCCTGTGTCAGACACACAGACATTAAATAAAGCCTTCCAAAGCCTTTTCTGCAGGGATGAGTGTCAGCAGGAGGCCAGTGTCCCACTGCAAAATTATTTTAAAAGCCTTAATTAAGGATAAGTGGGGTATGAGTAGCCCTTTGTAGAGGGATGATTTTACCCTCAGGGAAGCACAATGACAAGATTTCTGAGAGTCAATTTAACTGCAGCAAACCTTGAAAGCTTCAAGTAAAAAAGTCTCTCTCTACTTTCACAGTCAAGGGAGTTTAAAGAAAAGTTATCAGATGGAAATAATTCAGCTGTTACTCCTAAATATCACCCTTGTTTTCAGTCCTTTAAAATGACTGTACCAAGTCCTAGTAGAAAGATTAATTGTGCTCAGACTAATCAACCAAACATGGACATCGATACATCAGGTTATCAGGTGTTATCTGAACAGTGTTATCCCCCTGCTCTGCTGGTGAACTCTCCTTGCAGACAAAATCCACAGAAATTCGTGCTCTCAGGAGCTGTTCCAGTGCACCTCCCCTGCTCTAACCACCCTTTCTGCCACTGGGATCCAAAAGCAGCATCAAAACTTACAGGAAATAACTCAAATATCCATAATTTCACAATTCTGCAGGATGGGACAGGCTGGCAGGGAGAAGACATATTATGTTTTAAATCAACTCAGAGAGAAATTAAACTTTTGGCAAACACAAACCCTTCTTCAGATACGAAATAACTTTAAACAGGTATTTTTCCCCTGTGTTCCATGTCCTTTCAGCTGGTGACTAAGGCTGGGTCTATGTCACACGCCAGATTAACTTCCACTGAGAGCCATTAGTCTGCTGGAACAGAGTCATGTCTCCTTTAACAGCAGTTTCCAGCCCATTTCCAGTTTGCAAGCACTGGCCAGGACTGTAAACACTGTAGGAAAACATTTGTGCAAAATTCTGGCCAACATTTTTGTCGTTAGTGGGAGAGCAGACACTCTGGAAAAGCAGCCTGATTATCTACATTTTTAATTGTAGCCTTTGGTACCTCATTTTCAGCATCCTGGAGAGAAAACGATGGTGGTTTTCTTTCCCTACAGAAAATTATACTGTTAAAGACAGCATGGAAACATTTCAAGGGGTTTTGGTTTTTATTTTTTTTTTTTCATGGAATTGAGCTTCTGATGGAATTTGCCTCAATATTGTCCTGGAAGTAAATATTTGCCACCCATCATGCTGGGTTGTACTTGTTCCCATGAGCAATCAGAAGGAGATTAGTAAGACTGATAAGATGTAAGGTAGATCTGATTGAGCCAGATTTACCTTTGAGGCATAATGGCACAAATATCTAGAGTTAGTATTTATATAATTTCATTTATATGCCTTTTTTAACCAGGCTTTTCATTGCTGGTGCACAACTGAAGCCCTGGCACGACAGGCTGGGGACACCACCCAGTTTGTGAGCAGGGTAGGTTAAACCAAACAGCTCTAAAATAAGCAAAGAAGCAACTTTTGCAATCGAACAGGTGACCCCTTTCCCCAGCAACAAGTGCCCTTGGAGGGAGGAACCACTGGCTGGTCGAGGAGTTTTGGCCCAGACCTGAATAAAGAAGTAGGTGACAGTGATAAGCGAAGCCAGTTTGGTTCTGACTTGCAAAAGGGGAAAGCAAATACCAAATGGTATTTATAAAATAGAGGAAGGGACTGGAAAGACGTAACGATTTCCATCCTGGCAGCTCCAGATGCCAGGCTGGAGCACCCACGGTGATGTGGCTCTGTGGCCATCACCCAGGCACATGGTGAGCTGACATTTCTTCCTTCAACCCGTTGATCTGAGCTTTCTTCTGAATGATTTAGCTCAGGCTGAAGAGTTTTATTGACCCCATGAAGACAGAAAGGCTTCAAGAATGCAATATTTGATTTCTGGGGGCAGGAGGGGAAGTGTTTCTAACATCGTTCTCCTCCCAGGCTCAAGAGCTGTTTATTTTTAAACATTTTGCTGTGGGTCCTCATGACTCAGGGAATATGTTTGTGGCAAGCTTTGATATGGATCTCTTCCAGCCCCTTTGTTTACAAACTTCCACTGCAGACCAGAAACATGAGGACAAGGCAATGGGGAAGTTACTGAAGATTGTGTCGCTTTTGAAACCCCAGCAGCAGATCTCCCCTGGCAGCAGCAGAGGAGCCTGGAAGGCTGTGCAGAGCAGTCCCTCCAGCTGGCACCCACCCCTCCCACCCGGATTTGAAGCAATAATCTGAGCAGAAACATCTGGACTCACTGGAGCAGGAAAGGCCCATCTGTGACCTGGAGCCATGTGTGGCTCACGAGCAGCTCCCAAGCCACAGCCACATCATATGATTAAGAGAGAGCAAGCAGAAGGGCTCCTGAGTGACCAGACTTCTGGCCATGGAAGTAACGGGAAGAGGCTGCTGAGTCACACCAGGACACCTGCCAAATCCAGCTCTGCATCATTCCAGAGTGGAGGACCCCAGGAGAGAACCACATATGGAGCTCTCCTGGTGCAGATGTGATAGAAGGAGCCTCTGATGTGCACCTTTAGCAGCACAAGCTCAGGCAGGTTTTCCATCCCAGCACTAAGGCGAAGTCCCAGCCTTCATTTCTCCCTGCAAATGCATGGACATCTCCAAAGCTCCTTCTGGATGTGCTGGGCAGAGCATTTCCAGGAGGAAAGACTCTTGTGTGTTATAATGGGGGCAGATTTGCCCTACAAACTTGGACTCATGTTCTCCCCCCCACTCTACTTCATCCAGCAAGCTGTCAGCTTGCCTGCATCCCTTCTGCAGGGATAACTCCCTGCATTCCCTGGAAATCCTGTTCTCTGGGCTGCAGATCAAACCCACGATGTACAAAGAACAGTGAAGATGAGGGAAGGACAGATACAGGTGCTGGCAGCTCCACTGTCCTTCTGCTCTTACAGTAACCTGTTGCCTGCAAATCCAAACCCCAGCTTCCAAACCCCAGGGATTAGCTCTGCTCACTACCTCTGGGAAGTCTGGGACACACAAAGGGACTGTGTGTGGATACCCAAGCCTGGCAGGATGAGACAGATGTCTGTGGTTATTGTGCATGTGCCAGATACCTGCTTGGTATGCCAAATATATCTCAGCCCCAGGGGGTTCCTGCATGCCCTTAGCATGTGCCAGGCACTGCATTCCTGTCCCACCTGCAGCACACGTGCAGGCTGTCCCACCCCAAGGGATGTGTGCACCTGAGTCCCACAGCTTCAGCATTAGGAATGTTCATGGCAGGGGTGACCCTTCCAAAGCCCCACTGCAGAGTCCAGCACAACAAACTGCTTTTCAGCCCCTTTTTGTCTGAACTTTGAGTTGTATCAGCTGCATCTTTGAGTTGTATCAGTTTTAGCAGTGCACCTGCCTGGAAATCTCCTCAGAGATACCCAAAGACCTGTAAAAGCATTTCCACAGGCACATCTCCAATTTGCACTTCAGCAGCTTTGTGCACAGCTCCGCAGCACTCCAGAAGTTTTGTCCCACTGAGGAGGGCACATTAACAAATCCCTGCTCCCAGGAACAACTGGAGTAGCAGAAAGCACGGGGCTGAGGAACCTGCTTCTCCCTGCACAGGTACAGTTCAATGTCAGCCCCTTCAACTCCTATCACAGACAAAGAACCAAAATCTTGTCAAGCCCTTTGCCTCCCAGCTGTTAAACAAGGTTTAACCACATAACCCCGAGACCTGCAGCTGCTCCAAGGTGATCCACCTGCACAGGACCGACACCTCGGCTGAGGGAGGGAGAAGGAGGCACAGCCCTTACCTCGGGGGACCTCACTGCGTTTTGGAAGACGGCGTAGGCAATAATCGAGCTGGAACCTACAACGCTGAGAAAACAAAGCACGGGTTGGAACAGGAGCGCGTCTGCCTCGCCGGGGTACGCGAGTTCTCTTTTTTTTTTTTTTTTTTTTTTTTTTTTTTTCTGGAGAAAATCGCCTTTGCGATAGTAACTCCGTGCAGCCCGTCGTACCTGAGCATGGCCATGGTGAACTGGATCCACTGGAGCGCCGAGTAGACCTGAGGAAAGGACAGGACGGGGCTCAGGTGGCGGCCACGGAGCGGGGACTGGGGGATCCCGAACAGGAGCGGGCACACGGACCGGGACGGGGACCGCGAGGTGCCGGGGAGGAGCAGCATGGCCCGCTGACCCTGACCGGGGGATCCCAGAGAGGAGCGGGCAGCACGGACCGGGACCGGGGGGGTCCCGGAGAGGAGCGGCAGCGCTGCCGGTGCCGGCGGGCTGGGGATGGAACAGGAGGGGATGGAGGAGAAGGGAGGGGCACGGAAAGGTCCCGGTGCCGGCGGGGCTCGCTCACCTCCTGCCAGCCCCCGTCCAGCCGGGCCGCCTCCGCCGGCAGGGCCATGGGTCCCGCCGCCGCCGCCGCACCGCTCCGGGGCTGCGG